ATAAATTGAATCAATTTACAGCTAATTAAACCGGAGGGTAAAATGTATTCATTAGCACTAATGCGCTATGACACTTGTCAGGCTCCTGCTGTAACAAGCAATGGCTGTGTTGAAATTGATTGACTGCTGTCAGTTGGTGTCAATATAAACCGTGGTTCGCCTCTCGCTCTCTCGCGCCGCAGTCCCACCCACGAGAGTGAATGGCCATAATTGGACAGTGATTAAGTCAGTGTCTTCATTCAATAATTTGACCCCGTAATCTGATTCAAAATGATTGTTTGTGGTGGGTTTCTGATGAATCAGTTTTTACGATCTCAAAGGTGATTATTATTAATAGTTTGCAACGTTTTCCTGAATCTGTCAGTCTGGGTGTGTCAGTCGCACTCTCACCCCTGGGTCAGAAGATTGTGGGTTCAAGCCCCCGATTTTTTTTTTTTTTGGTCAGCCGGATGTCTGACACAATCGGAAACCCATCGCCGTGCCTAAGTGTAGTGACTGCGTATTTTGTGGGCGAAGGGGGCAGCCAATTACAGGCAGCAACGTCCCGCAAACAGCCATAAAGTGCACGATCAGTTTTATTTGGGGGATTGTTGGCTAGGGTAACGGGAGAATGAACCCCACCCATCCCACCCTCACCTTTCTCTTTTCGAACAGTAGTGGGGGAGATCTTTTACGTTTAACATCTGAACGGGTCACAGATGGGGAGTGAGGTTTAATGTCTCCTCCGAAGGACGGCATCTCCGAAAATACAACACCCCCCCGGGTACGTGGGGTTTGAACTCACAACCTTTGGACACGGAGGCGAGAGTGATACCACCGCGCTCAGCCGTCAGACAGAAGCTTAGCTTAATAATAACACTGAGATACGTAGCGTCCTGCCTAAAAGCAAACTCCTCTCACTGAAGCAAACTACACTACAGCGTACTGTACTGTAATTCAAAGTAACGCCCTGAGTGCATTTCCTCTTGAGTTGTTCTCCGCATAATAATTTCGCAGCGAATTATTCATGAGAAAGCCCTGCGAGGCGCTGAGGGAATTGAGTCATCAACGGACTTAAGCAGTTCAGGACGGCGCTGTACTGAGAATTACTGAGGCTCTCATTAAAAATTCCATTAGATGGGGAGGATTTGGAGAGTGAAGAACAATCGCAAAGCAAAACCTCTTCAAAGTTATTGGCAAATAAGCTGTTTTCATGCCTATAGTGAATGCCAAAGTCAGGCTCGTCAGCTGCTGAAAGTCTCTCGGTATTCTCATGGTCCTGAGTGATAATCATATTAGCTATTTTAGGGCGCTCAAATATATTAAGAAAAGTAATACTAATATTACTTGCATTCGGTATAGCACCGTATCACGTCGTTGAGACTTCTCAAAGCGCTTCCCTATATTTTTATTAGTTATTATTACTAATCCCCCAAATAAAATAATAATAATCCTTGCATTTGAATACAGAATCCCTCCTTCATAATCCCTCCTGGCATTTGATACGGTGCTTTTCACATCTTCGAGACGTCTCAAAGCGCTTCACGGGATACACTGTAAAGCCAATTGACCGTATTGTGTGGGCGAAACGCGGCAGCCAATGGCGCACAGCGACGTCCCACAAACAGCCGTGGATTGAGTGACCGAATTATTAATGTTTTTTNAAAACGGGATTATTATCACGGAAAAGCGATCCGCCAATCGTGTTCCTACTCACTGCTGCTAAATAGAGGAGTTAGGAAACTTGGCTGAGCTTTCATCCTGACCTGACCCGCCTGGGGAGTGGTCTAACCACTCCGGGTGCCTGAATGCATCGAGCTTAAAAAATCGCTCCACATGATGTATTCCGAGCATTTTTGTAAAACCGCGAATTAACGCGGAAGCCACGGAAAGTGAAATTAACACTTGTTTTTCCCCGCACACACAGGAGATTTGAGCAGCGAATTATTCCACGTAAATGCCCGGATTGTCACAGCTCAGCGAACGATAAATATTTAAGTAAATTGCACAACGCACTACTTGTTTTTGCCACAGAGACAGTGTTGACAGAGGCTCTCGTTAGTGATCTGCGCTGTGTCACAGAGCCCTCTGGCAGTTGGTTAGAGTAACGCTCCTAAGGCCTCGCAAGCGAGAGGACGTGGGTTCAATTCCCGGGCGGAGCAAAACCTTAACAAGTTTCCTTACTCCGCACATACACACACACACAGTTTACCAACAGTGAGTAACGATACCCCTCCCCCAAAAAAACCACGTGGTCACTCAATCCACGGCTGTTAGCGGGACATCGCTGTGCGCAATTAGGGTGACACGCAGTCAATTCAAGTCAACGGCATATTCTGGGAAGAGCTTTGAAATGTCTCGACGATGTGATGAGACGTTAAATCAAATGCAAAGATTATTATTAATATATCCACTTTTGAACAGCGGAGCGTGTGGGGGGTGGGGGAGGGGGGGGAGGAGGGGGGGGGAGAGTGCCCTGTGAGTGAGTTAACCTCTCTGGACACAACCCTTACGTGAGGGGCGTTATATAAATGCAAGTTGTTGTTGATGTGCAACTAACCCTAACCCTCACTGAACATGACCTCCAGCCCATACAGACTCCATCTCCGGCACAAACAGCCCTGGGGGTGGGGGTGGGGGTTAAACCCAGTTTATTGGCTCTCTAACCAAACATGTGGTTCAGAAACCCTGTGTCACAACAACTAAACAGACACAGGCCAAACAGTGAGAGCTCAGAGCTCAGGCTGTCCCTCTCTCTGGGCTCAGACCAGTGGAGCTCAGACCAGTGGGGGCTCAGACCAGTGGAGCTCAGACCAGTGGGGGCTGAGACCAGTGGGGGCTGAGACCAGTGGGGGCTGAGACCAGTGGGGGCTGAGACCAGTGGGGGCTGAGACCAGTGGGGGCTGAGACCAGTGGGGGCTCAGACCAGTGGGGGCTGAGACCAGTGGGGGCTGAGACCAGTGGGGGCTGAGACCAGTGGGGGCTGAGACCAGTGGGGGCTGAGACCAGTGGGAGCTGAGACCAGTGGGGGCTGAGACCAGTGGGGGCTGAGACCAGTGGGGGCTGAGACCAGTGGGGGCTGAGACCAGTGGGAGCTCAGACCAGTGGGGGCTCAGACCAGTGGGAGCTCAGACCAGTGGGGGCTCAGACCAGTGGGAGCTCAGACCAGTGGGGGCTCAGACCAGTGGGGGCTGAGACCAGTGGGGGCTGAGACCAGTGGAGCTCAGACCAGTGGGGCTCAGACCAGTGGGGGCTCAGACCAGTGGGGGCTCAGACCAGTGGGGGCTGAGACCAGTGGAGCTCAGACCAGTGGGGGCTCAGACCAGTGGGGGCTCAGACCAGTGGAGCTCAGACCAGTGGGGGCTCAGACCAGTGGGGGCTGAGACCAGTGGAGCTCAGACCAGTGGAGCTCAGACCAGTGGGGGCTCAGACCAGTGGAGCTCAGACCAGTGAGGGCTCAGACCAGTGAGGGCTCAGACCAGTGGGGGCTCAGACCAGTGGGGGCTCAGAGCTCAGACTGTCCCTCTCTCTCCCTCTCTCTGGGCTCAGCTGCACAGACTGTATCGACGCTGTGGTGGTTGATTGTATGGGTCTGTGGTGCCATTGACCCCCGAGTGGGTGTAGGGGGTGAGTGTGAGTGTGTGAGTGTGTCGGGGTGAGTGTGAGTGTGTCGGGGGGGGGGGGGGAGTGTGAGTGTGTGAGGGGTGTGTGTGAGTGTGTGTGAGTGAGGGGGTGTGTGAGTGTGAGGGGTGTGTGTGTGAGGGGTGTGAGTGTGTGTGTGTGGGGGTGTGTGTGTGAGGGGGTGTGTGTGTGTGTGTGTGTGAGGGTGTGTGGTGTGTGTGAGTGTGTGGAGGTGTGTGTGTGTGTGAGGGGGTGTGTGAGTGTGTGTGTGTGAGGGGTGTGTGGGGGTGTGTGTGTGTGTGAGGGGTGTGTGTGTGTGTGTGAGGGGGTGTGTGAGTGTGTGTGTGAGGGGTGTGTGTGTGTGTGAGTGTGAGGGGTGTGTGTGTGAGGGGGTGTGTGAGTGTGTGTGTGAGGGGTGTGTGTGTGTGTGTGAGTGAGGGGGTGTGTGTGAGTGTGAGTGAGGGGGTGTGTGTGTGTGTGTGAGTGAGGGGGTGTGTGTGTGAGGGGGTGTGTGAGTGTGTGTGTGAGGGGTGTGTGTGTGTGTGTGAGTGAGGGTGTGTGTGTGAGTGTGAGTGAGGGGGTGTGTGTGTGTGTGAGTGAGGGTGTGTGGTGTGTGTGTGAGTGACCCCGGGGGTGTGTGTGTGTGAGTGACCCCGGGGGTGTGTGTGTGTGAGTGACCCCGGGGGTGTGTGTGTGTGAGTGAGGGGTGTGGTGTGTGTGTGAGTGAGGGGTGTGTGTGTGTGTGAGTGACCCCGGGGGTGTGTGTGTGTGTGTGAGTGTGAGGGGTGTGTGTGAGGGGGTGTGTGAATGTGAGTGTGTGTGTGTGAGGGGGTGTGTGTGTGTGTGAGGGGTGTGTGTGTGTGTGTGAGTGAGTGTGAGGGGTGTGTGTGTGTGTGAGTGTTGGGGGTGTGTGTGAGGGGGTGTGTGAGTGTGTGAGTGTGTGTGAGGGGGGGTGTGTGTGTGTGTGAGTGTGTGTGTGTGTGAGTGTGTGTGTGTGTCAGTGTGTGTGTTTGTTACATTGTGGCCTTTGGGCCCTGAACATTGTGTCGCTGTGTCTCATTGTTACTGTAACATCGGCGGCTCTGCGTTACAGTGTAACCCCTATATACAGCTTCACTGTGTGTCAGTGTGTGAGGGGGTGTGTTAGTGAGTGTGTCAGTGTGAGCGTGTGTGTGTTAGCGTGTGCGTGTCAGTGTGTGCGTGTCAGCGTGTTAGTGTCAGTGTGAGCGTGTGCGTGTCAGTGTGAGCGTGTGCGTGTTAGCGTGTGCGTGTCAGTGTGTGCGTGTCAGCGTGTTAGTGTCAGTGTGAGCGTGTGCGTGTCAGTGTGTGTGTCAGTGTGAGCGTGTGCGTGTCAGTGTGTGCGTGCCAGCGTGTTAGTGTCAGTGTGAGCGTGTGTGTGTCAGTGTGAGCGTGTGCGTGTCAGTGTGAGCGTTAGCGTGTGCGTGTGAGCGTGTGCGTGCGTGTCAGTGAGTGCGGTTGTTGACCCGGCACAGATGCAGACGCTGTGCCGCGCGGCCGGGACTCTCGTCGCCTCCATGTCCCGCAGACCGGTGGAGGTGTATTTTGACCTCCTGTCCCAGCCCTCCCGGGCCGTGCTGATCTTCCTCAGGGCCGCCGGCATCCCACACGTGGAGAGACCCGTGGCTCTGAGGAAAGGTGAGTCCTGGCGCTGTGTGTGTGTGTGTGTGTCTCCCCCCCCCCCCTCCAGACCAGACCAGACCAGCTCAGCTCAGCTCAGCTCAGCTCGGATTGCCTGACTTTGCAACAACAAACACAGGTTGGAGAAAGGCGGAGGCGGTGTATGTAGTGCAGTGCGTTCGCACTTGTACTTTGAATCCCTTCAAGCCCTGGGCCCCACCCTACAGGGTGTGTGTGTGTGTGTGTGTGTGTGTCTGGGGTGGGGGGGGGGGGCGGAGAGAGAGAGAGAGAGACAGTGAACTGGAGCCCAAAGTCCCCCTCCCCCTTGGCTTGGCTGGGAAATCTTCCTCGCTCAAGACCTTTCTCTTCGACCGTGCCTTCAGCTCCCCTCTCGACCCTCTACCCCCCTCCTCGCTCCCTCCCTCCCCTCGACCATTTCCCCCCACTGCTCGGGTCCCGACCCAACTGTCCAGCGCCTCGGGACGTCCTCCCGACGTGAAAGGCGCTCGATAAATGCAATCTTGTTGTTGTTGTTGTTGTTTATACACTCGCCCGGCTCCTGATAACTCATCGTTGAGAGCCCGTTTCCCCCGGGAGCGGCCAGTGATCGGGCGTTGTTCCCCCACTTGCTGCCGTCCCGAAGGGGAGAGGTTCGAGACCTTTTGGAAGCGGGAAATGCAGCCCCAGCTGCGCGTTAACGGTGGTTTCCTTCCCTCCGGTTCGGTGTGACCAGGAGAACAGAACAGCCCAGAGTTCGGCCGCCTCAACCCTATGCGTAAAGTGCCAGTGATTGTGGACAATGGGTTTGTTCTGACCGAGAGGTGAGTAAGAGAAATAATAATAATAATAATAATAATAAAATCCTGATAGCCTAGCCAGGGTGATCCAATAGGCAGCCAGCAGGCCAATAGCAACCCCCCCCCCCCAGCCATTTTATCTGACCCACCCTCTCCCTCTATAACCTAACATTAACATTAACATTATTATTATTATATAATCTGTAAATGTTATATTTCTGAAAGTGAAACTCAAAGATGTTGCTCGTGTGGCCCACGGAGGTTTCTTGAATAGGGCATCCGGCCCTCAGCAGCCAAAAGGTTGGACTGGCCTCCCCCCCCCCCCCCCCCACCCCCCACCCAGGCCATGTCAGACGTGGCGATGTTGCTGTGAAGTGTAGTGACTGTGTTTGTGGGTGCAAGGGAAATGGGCGGCTAAGACGTGTTTTCCACGCGCGCAGTGTGGCCATCCTAAAATACCTGGCCAGCACCTACGACGTTCCACAGAACTGGTACCCCCGGGACCCCCAGCGGAGGGCAAAGGTCGATGAATACATGGCCTGGCAACACCTTAACACCCGGATGAACACAGCCAAGGTCTTCATCTTCGAGGTGGGTAATTAACACGTCAGATAATAATAATAATCCTTGCATTTGATACGGGGCCTTTCACATCAGATGGGCTTGTCACGTCTCAAAGCGCTTCACAGGAGTCACTGTAAAGTGTAGTGACTGTGTCTGTAGGCTGTAACATACCACGAACAGCGGGTGACCGATTTTATTTGTGGGATTTGTCGGCCAGGACATCGAGAGAAACTCCCATCTCTTTTCGAGTAACCCCGTGGGAGATCTTTAACCTCCCCCTGAACAGGGCACAGACGGGAGTGGGGGGGGGGGGGAGAGTAAAGGAAGCTCAATTTAATGTCTCACCTAGGGGAGAATTTCGGGTCCTAGCTATCATCTTACCCGCGGACACAATGCATTCATACGCGACTGTGCCTTACCTCTGTGTGCGCGTCCGTCCAGGTTCTGATTCCCCAGATGACAAGCCAGCCGGTCGACGATCAGAAGGTGTCCAAGGCACTGAAAGATCTGGAGGGAACCTTGGACATGTTGGAGACCATGTTTCTCAAGGATAAGCCTTTCCTCTGTGGCGATGACCTCACCCTCGCGGATCTCCTGGCCATCTGTGAACTCATGCAGGTAATGATATTATAATAATAATGGATCGTAAATAATCTGCCGGGCAGCGAGGCGGGCAAGTATTCCCATTCGTAATTGTTCTGTGAACCTTCAGCCTCTGGGAGGGGATCGCGACGTTCTAAAGGAGCGACCGAAATTAGCGTCCTGGCGGAGCAGGGTGCAGTCGGCCCTGGGGAAGACATTCGAAGATGTCCACGCGATTGTGTACCGGCTGAGAAACAAGTCCAGGCTGTGAGTGCCAGTCGGCAGAGCCGGGCCTCGCGGTACATCTGCTGCGAGTGTGGTCGGGTCGTGGGCGGTTTAACCAGCCGAGGGACTCGGGACGTGCTTAAAAGCAATCGTTTCTTTTCAAGTTGCCGTCCAACCCGGTGGACGCGGGTTTAGCTGGGACTGATTTAATTCTGTTCAACTTGAGGAACGTTGCTCTACTAATTTGGTTAATTAAACCTGAACCAGACATGTACTCAATTAATAAGTGCCAGCTTATATATAGTGGTGAAACTTTTAAGAATTACTAAACCAGGGCACAATCTAGCGTTGGGGGCTGACAGCAGATTTAACGTCAGAAAATTCAAATCCGAAGGGCAATTTTTTGCTAACGCACGAATGAATAAAATGGTTAAAACTTTGTATAATTCTCTCCTGTAAAAGTGTCATCGATTCCAGGCTTGAAATCAAAAAAGATGTATTTTGCCACATTACGTTGTAAAGAGAGTGATCTTTCTTTCTTCCCTCAAAATGAAGGAACGTATTTAGCTGAACGTATTAACCTCAAACCAACCTCTTAGTCCTTGTGATTCCCAATCTGTCCGGAGGAAATGTTTTGATTAAAACCTGTTCTGAAAAAACCCTGCGGGGCAAATTGGTTGCTGCATTCACCTGCAAAATACACAAGACACTGTACTCTGCAGTATATCCTGCAAAGCGCTTTGAGGTATCTTGACAACAGTCTGGCAAGCTTTCCTGCTGCTTGTCCAGCGAGGACCACCCTACCTGTTAGGGTTCTGGCTTACGTACTTGAACAGACAGACAGGACTCAATACCAATTGACATTTATTCACAGTGGTCAGAGAGAGTTGCTGTAACAAACAGATTCACACAGACAACTTGAAAGGCTCAGGAAATATTTAATTCTGCTGTGCTTTGGGCTACACCAGCGACTGATTTGGGTTAGGTAAGCAAAAGTACTGATTTGAAACCTCTCCTAATACATCTCCTTACAAAATCTGATTTCTATATTTTAAAAAAATGCCACAGGATCTTAACGACCACTTTAACAAACATTATTCTTGTATGTGTGTGTGTGTATATATATATATGTGTATATATATATATATATATTATGTAAATATATATAGATATAATCACCCTTTAAAGCTGATCTTATGGGTATCCCCATATGCTGTTGTAACTTGAGTCAGGGGATTGAATAAGACCTCTTACTGTAAACCCTAATAACTCGACTCTGGCTGGCTTAAATAGTCACTACCACTTAGGCCGGGGCGGTCTAACCTTTTGGCTGTCGAGGGCTGGATGTTGAGAAATGCCTGTGGGCCGCATGAGCAATATATTATCCTGGTTGTCCAATTCCGCTGCCGGGCACAGCCTGAGTTACCATCTCCTGATTGGCTCAGGGCCTGCGCGTCTCCCGTATTTACGGGTCGGAAGTTGGAAATGGTCCGTGGGCCGGATGCGGCCCGCGGGCCGTCAGTTGGACAACACTTGATTTAATTCCGCATTTATCACCAATGCAGATAGCACAAGTCACTGAGCCCCCTCTCACGCTTGGGAGTGATGAGTTATCAGGGGTTTACCGTATTGCAACGAAAGTGACACAAACCTCACAGTGAGGCAGCAATTAAAGAGGGGGGTGGGGGTGGGCACGGAATCCCCCCCACCCCAATCACACACACACACACACACACAAGATTTTGAAAAACAAGTCTCAAAAAAGCATCTGTAATCATTGATCGGGTCAATAGCATTTCACTGCACAGCATCTTAGCAGATTCCAGTGTTTGCAAGTTCAACACTTAAAGCTCCTTTTTAAGCGTCTCTCGATCTACAGCAAAATTTCTCCCATCGGAAATGGTGCACAGCATCGCATTCCGGACGTACGAGCGCGTTTTAAAAAAAAGTAGAAAATTAAATTAAGTACAAAAAATGCACGACTCCGCCTCTGGCGGACTCCCGGAACGGGTCTGGTCGGGAACGTTTAGGAACGAGCACTCGCGTGCGTGGAACAAGGCAGCAAAAAAAAAAATGGACGATCCTGCAGGTAAAAATGGACCCTACCCGCCCACGGTAAAAGATACACAGTGTTTCCCTCCGTGCACACACACACACAACTACATCACGTCCTTTAGCCCCTCTGTGGTTTTGGTGCGAGACGTGCGTTTCAGGCGTTTAGTGAGGGGGGGGGCGTCATCTTCACGGGGCCTTTTCATGCTGGTTGACGGCTGTGGACAGCAACAACAACAAATTACACTTGTATAGCGCCTTTCACGACCCAGAGCGCTGGATGCAAAAAATAAACTAAAAAAAAAGGAAAATTGTCATTCAGTCACTACATTTTTCCTCAAGCCCCGTGAAGCGCTTTGGTACGTCCCTCTCTCAAGACTATGTGACTCCCAAGACCCAAGTTGGGGCTTGACCCCACAACCATGCGACTCGAGAGGCAGGAGTGCTACCAACCGAGCCAGGCCGACACAGTCTTCTGCAACGGCACCCGTATAAAGGCAGCAAGAGACCGAAACTGTCCCTCGAGCCGAGCCTCCTCTTACCTGTTCCGTTACACTTGGCGGCAACATCAGCTCGCGCTCAGGATACATCAGCTGCCTTGCTTTCCTCTTCACTTCTTCATCCTAACGTCAAAGGTCAATGGTATTAGTGATCTCGCCGGTCGGGCAGATTACAAGGTTGCAGGGAATCCCAGGCACAGTTAGAATTCTCGTCCCGGGTGTGCAAAACACCCACTGCGCTGCCCACCTAGTTGCTTCACTTCCTTTGCTTAAGGAAGCCATAGATTTCCAACCAAGCTCAGGAACATAGGAACAGGAGGAGGTCATTCAGCCCCTCGAGCCTGTTCCGCTATTCTACTAGATCACAGGTGATCTGTATCTCAACTCCAATTACCCACCTTCGTCCCATATCCCTTGATACCCTGACCTAACAAACATCTGTCCACCTCAGTCCTGTAAATTTCCATTGATCGAGCATCCACAGCCGTTTGGGGGAGAGAGTTCCAGATATCCACTCCCCTTTGCGTGAAAAACTCCCTCCTGATTTCACTCCAAATTGGCCTGGCTCTTAATTTTAAGATGATGCCCCCCTTGTTCTGGATTCCCCCACCCACCAAAGGAAATAGTTTCTCTGTAGCTACCCTGGCAAAACCCTTTATCATATTAAAGACCGCAATCAGATCACCCCTCAACCTTCTAAATTCAAGGGAATACAGACCAAGCTTATGCAACCTGTCCTCGTAATTTAACCCTTTATTATTATTAATAATAATTATTATTATTATTAATCTCTGGTATCATTTTGGTGAACCTACGCTGCACCCCCTCCAGGGCCAATATATCTTTCCTTAGGTGCGGTACCCAAAACTGAACACAATCTCCAGATGGGGGTCAGTGGTTAAACCCACTGGTTTAGCCACTTGATCAGTGAAACAATACTGGCCGTGAAGCTTTAGAGCAATCGCTACCTGAATCCACGGGTGATTAAGAGCTTCGTTTGGTGAAAGCCTCTTTTCTGGGTCCACATTGAGAAGCTTCTTCACCAGGTCCTTTGCTAAGTGAGAGAAGTACAAATATTTCAGTAGAGGAGGGAGGCTTCCACATGTGAAGGGCTCTATACAAATACAAGTTGTTGTAGGAGAGCGGATGATGATAAGAGTTGGGGTGGGGGGGGGGGGGGTGAGGAAGAGGGAAGACGCCGACATTGTAAGATGGCGAGTTGCTAATTATGAGCTCTTGTTTTTGAAAATAGACAGCAAGTTAGAAAAGTTAGAAGCTGAGAGGCAGACCCAAGTGAAGAAAGTTTAGAAGACTAGAGACAGTGGATAATAGCTCATTTATCATGATCACCACCCTCATATATAGCAATAATAAAGGAAAAGGACACACCCAAACAAAACAGGCCATGTTTGAACCATGTGCATACCCATCTCCGAGACATGTCCCCAGCAGCTTGGGATGAAGGTGTAATGGCCTTTTATAATTTGGTCACTCAGTGACATGCTCTCAATCTGATCGCTAAAGGGTGGATACCCACCCAAGCTAAGAGAGAGAATGGTAAACAGTTAAACAGTGTCCGATTCACCAGCGCAAGTCAACACCCAATTGACAGAGAAGTTATGGTTACATACATCGGCAAATTATTTCAAATGAAAAAAATTCCACCCCTGCCTCCTCAACCCACCAAGACCTTCTTTAAACAAAGTCAGGAAACAGAATTAATACATAACTAATTATAATAAACAGGTAAACAATACCTATGTACAATTCTCGGGGATCCCGTGGCGCTATTGGAAAAGGGAAGGGAGTTTCTCTCTCTCGGTGTTCTGACCAACAATCCCTGGCCAAATAAAAATTGGTCGCTGAATCCACGCCTGTTTGTGGGGACGCTGCTGTGCGCAATTGGCTGCCGGGTTTCGCCCACAAAATATACAGTCAATTCACTTGACAGTATACTCTGTGAAGCGCTTTGAGCCGTGTCGACGTGATAAGGCGCTATATATAATAATCCTTGCATTTGATACCGTAGCTTATCACGTCTTCAAGAGTCTCAAAGCACTTCACAGAATATACTGTGAAGTGAATTGACTGTATATTTTGTGGGGGAAACACGGCAGCCAATTGCACACATCAAGGAAAGGGACTCACCATATAAACAGTATAACCCCCAGACTCCAGCAATCCACAGCTTTGCTGTAACTGCCCATCCCAGCAGTCAGGAGCACTTCTGGTGCGAGGTAAGTGGGCGTCCCACACAGTGTCTTCATCAGTGAAGTCTCCCCAACGATCTTCGCCAAACCAAAATCTGTAATCTTCCCCCACACACAAAAAAAATCACAAGCACTCGTTTTAACTGTCAGGTCTCCTAAAGTGCTTGCGTTACTAAACTGAGATCGTAATTAATTATTTCTTTTTGCTAAGCTGCTCTTGGAAAACATTCCTGTCAAAAATCGATACGATTATTACATCCACAATAAGCTTTAGTGCCTTGCAGAAGTTAACACTTCTTTTAATTTGAATACAAGTTTGCGTTTAAAACGAATACGGTCCTCAATCTGACCTGCGGAAATGCTGTTGCCAAGCGAGAAAACTGGTAACTCTTCTCTATGTGAGCAAAATAAATGCCCCAAACATAGCATTTTCTTATCAATATCCAGCATAAACCTATTCCCACCAATACTTTCGCCAGCAGACGGCAGCAAACTACAGCAGAATCACTTACCTTTATAAGGGAGCTCTCCTCGCCAGTTGCAATTAACACGTTCTCTGGTTTGAGGTCTCTGTGTGTGATGTTATTATTGTGAAGATACTGTAAAACAGAGAGAACACGTTAAGAGGGGGCAACCAACAACAGTTTCCCTCCCCTTGGCCTTCTCAGTATTTCAACCTATTCACCCTCCAATATCACCTCCAGTTCAACTCTATCTCTGGGAAAGAGGCTTCCCTCTCACCAGAATGATGATTAGACATGGTGACCTGGGGGTGGGAGCCAAGGTAGGGGGGTGTGTGGGGAAGAGGGGTAAAGGTGACCGAAAATGCAATCAACGAGGTTGGTCTTGAACGAGCGAACAAGGACTTGCCATCAGGCCAATGTACCAATGGAGCTTGGCTGCCCACGTCAGTTTAAAAGCACAAAGAAATGCATCAACGATAGAGGTGACCTACTTGCACAGCAAGCAGCATTTGGTAGAAGAACAGTTTGGCAGTCTGCTCCTTCAGTTTGGCGCAGGACACAACCCGATCAAAAAGCTCCCCGCCTTCCATTCTGTAAAGAGATTCGATCACAGGCAACTTTTGTACCTTTATGTACAACTTACGACTAATAATAATAATCTTTACATTATTGAGACGTCTCAAAACGCTTCACAGAATACACTGTAAAGTGAAGTGACTAAGCAGGATGTGTCCGTCCGGGGGGGAGAGAGAGAGAGAGCGCATTCCATTCCAACCATCTCTCTTCGGGATTTCCATGTGTAGATGGGAGGCCTGGAATTCTCAGTTGGGTTTGGAGACTCTTAAGCAACGGTGATGGGTTTCCATGTGTATCAGACACCCACCCGGCCGACCACAAAGAATAAAAAAAACTCTCTCAAATTTTGATAATTACCACAAAAAAACGAAAAACAAAGCAAAAACTTTGAGAAAGGAGCTGAGAGAAACTTACAATTCCAAGATAAGATAGAAGCAATCTTCGAAGTTAAACACCTCCTCGATCTTGATTATGCAAGGCTTAAACAAAGATCAAGATGGAGTTAACAGATATACATAGAACCATCGACAGTTACAGCACAGGCCCATCATGTCTGTGCTGGCTCTTTTACGACCCATTGACTCACTTCTCATAACCCTGCAGTTGACTCATTTTTAGATAATTATCTACTTTCCTGTTGAAAGGTTATGTGGATTCTGCCTCAACCAGGATCCCAGCAGCACTCTTACCACACTTGCTCGCTGTGTGTGAAAAACATTCTCTTGAACTCCCCATTTGCTAACCATCTTAACTTGATGCCCCTCTAGCCACTGATTCACGGACCAATGGAAATAATTTGTCCCTACTGACTATTAAAACCCAACGTAAAGACCTCAATCAGGTTATTCCTCAACCTTCTTTGTTCCAACGTAAAAAGTCACACTTGTTTAATACTGTCCATCATAAGGAAAATAAACAAATATGCAATTTCAGTTACTTACATGGTCCAACATTTTTAGGATCTTAATTTCCGTCGCATCGTTTGAAACTTTATCCTGTATAAGCAAAGTTCATTGTTATAATAATAATGATCCTGGCATTTGATATAGCATCTTATTATGTTTCAAAGTGTTTTACAGAATATATTGTAATGTGTAGTGAATGTGTTTTGTGAGCGAAATGCGGCAGCCAATTGCGTACAGCAGTGATTTATTTATGAAGAGATTATTAGTCCTGGAAAAGTAATCTGCCAACCGACTAACAACCGAGTTCCTAATTACTGCTAGGTAAACAGAGGAGAGTGGAGTAAGGAAACTTGCCGAAGGTTTTGCTCCACCCGGGAATCGAACCTATTATGACAGCTAAAGCACGGTTACGTGAGATACACTTACTCCTCTTTCAGCAACAAGTGCTGCAAATTTCAGTTTACGTACAATCTTCACAGCCACTTTCTTGCAGTTTTCCTTTCCAAACGCTAGTCTCACTTCTCCACAAACACCCCTGCAACACACAGTGACTCTATTTAACAAGAAATCATTGCACGTTAGAATTTCCAGGTGCCAAGCCAGCACTGTTAAGCACCTTGAGATGTCCTGCCGATGTGAAAGGCGCTATATAAAATATAAAACACATTAAATATAAATTTGTAATTAAACGTATTAAATATGGTGATGGGGAGAGGGCAAGGGACGAGCAGGGTGGAACCCAAACTGGAGGGGATCGAGTAGCGAGTGGAGGGAGAGGTGTGAGCAAATCAGTTAATGACACTGACACTCAAACAGTTACAACAACAAAACTTTTTTTTAACCATATATTATGCATATATATATATACATATAAAAAAAGCTACTTACGAGCCAAGCGTCCTTGAGAGGATGTATTTATCCCTGAATTCTTTAGGAAGATCTGACTGATCATCCGTCGTAAGGTCAGAAAAGACAAAAACTGGAAAACAAAGATCGACTCACTTGCGTCAGTCTTCATTAACCAAAAACAAAGAGTTTCTGCGACCCACAATGTTCCGATAGCAAAGTTGACGAAACACTTTGAGACGTATCGGTGACATGATAAGGCACAATATCAAATGAAAGGATTATTATTATTATTGACATTCAGAACTGGGTTTGCCTTAAAGTATTAAATCTTTGCCATATCTCTAAAGCTAAACCATATCTCTTTTCTACAAGGCCTCTGTAACAGAGGAAAACGACATCAGAGTCAAAGCGCTGTGATCAACAACAAATAATTATACAGTGCCTTTCATGTCGGGAGCTGAAATAATAATAATAATCCCTGCATTTGACACAGCACCCATTCACGTCTTCGAAACGTCTCAAAGCGCTTCACAGGATATACTGTAAAGTGATTTGACTGTATATTTTGTGGGCAAAACGCGGCAGCCAATTGCGCACAGCAGCGTCCCCACAAACAGTCGGGGATTGAAGTGACCGATTTATATTTTTTTTTTGGAGGAGTTTATACGAATTACTGGTTAAATCAAAAGTGGCCCGCCAACCATTCGCACTAGTCTAGGCGAGTCCACATTAAATTAATGTTTTGTGTCCCGTGGCTACTGAGTGGCGATGTTGGTGGTATGGCCATACGTCGTGAAAATATTCAATCAGGAATATGTACGTGGTTGGCCGACCAAAAAAAAAACACACTTAAAAAGTTGGGAAGGTTTCTCACCTTTGTGCGTGGGAAGATTAATCGCGATTTCATCGTTATTGTTCAGTGGCAGACGCTTATTTTTCCCAATTAATCGGCCGTTCAGGAAGGTGCCATTAAAACTGTGATCTTCAATAAACACTAAAAACTTATTTCCGGGGCCTTTTTCCTTGAAAGGAGAGAAGTGCAGGATGAGGTTATGTAAAAAGGGATCTTAAAAAGATAAAAGCCCAATTGAATTGAGGACGCAAGACCAGCTTGATAGGGACACTGCAGGAAATAAGAAATAGTATATTTTAATAATAATTTGCATCGTTGAGAACAACAACATTACATTTATAAAGCGCTTTTCACGTTGGGAGGACAATCAGTGTTTCGGACCCAATCTGGGGGTAGGGATCGGAGAGGGATCAACGTCTCAGAACTGGCTATACTTTAAAGTGCAGTGACGGAGTATTTTGTGGTTGAAATGTAAGGACTGAAAGCACACACACGCACACACCAAACCTGACCAAAAGGCTTCAAGGTTTAATTACAACAACTTGGATGTATATAGCGCTCTTCACGTGGGGTAGTGTCCCGGACACTTGTAAACTTCATCCTAATAGAGTCCATTTACTTACTCGGATTATTCTGCAATGCTTTTTGCTGTAGGATTTAAAATCCTCGGTTCTCTTTAACGCAGCCCGATCAAAACTGTAGTCACACATCCTGTCACGACCAAACCAATACTCATCTTTCACACAGTCTGTGAGAGAGACAGACGGAGAGAGAGCGATAAAGAGACCGTTCATTCATTCATTTATGGAAGAACTGGTTTGATTAGTTTAAACTTGTGGACTAACTGATCAGTGCGTCCTCCTCCCTCTCGCTCGCTCTCAGAACATAAGAATTTCTAGGCAAAACAAGACCAATGTCCAGCCAGTTCACCTTCCACCATCTTGGCAGTTGTTTGGACGTGTCATGTCCCAAACTGTATTATTATAAGCCCTGGAAAAGTAATCTGCCAACCGACTAACAACCGGGTTCCTACTTACTGCTAAACAGGGGCGCGTGCGTGGAGCAAAAACTTGCTTAACATTTCCCGGGAATCGAACCCAGGTCCTCTCGCTTGTGAGGCGAGTGCTCTAAACACTGAACTGCAGAACTCTCTCTCTCTCTCTCTCTCTATATATATATATATACACACACACACATATATATATATATATATAATTTTTTTTACCAAGTTTCGAAAATCCCTTCCGCAGTGCCCAAAGGCGTCCCCAAGGCTGAGGTTCTTCTGGCTCTGGCTCTTCGTAGACGGTGTCCTGTGTGGGGATGGTACTTGCTGAGGAGGCACTGCTGGAGGTTGGCCCACTGGAGTTGGGCTGAGACTGAGATTGGGATTGAGACTGGGACTGGGTTTGGGACTGAGACTGGGACTGGGTTTGGGACTGAGACTGGGACTGAGTAGCCTCACCACTACTACTAATGCAACTGCTCTCCCTGGACATTATAGCGCCGACCGCTTAAAAATTTTACCGATCACCAAAAAAAAAGGGAGGTTTTTTTTTTGCAACAGCAAAAAACTTTCTAAACACCACAGGTAGACAGACGTGTCCCCCCACCTCCCTCTCCTAATCTAAAACGTTTGACACAGATGTGCAAACTATGTTAAGTCTCACCGGGGCTCAGAATTGTGCAAATGGCTCAGTACAAACAACCCCCATGTGCTGCTTATGTTCAGGTGAGTGGGCTTTCTGGGCAGGTGGGGGGGAGTGGGGGGCGGTCAAATCCGGCTCAAACTCTGGAAATAAAGTGCAAATAAACCACCTCCTCCAGAAAAAAAAAGAGGAAATATTGACCTCAGAAACAGTAAAATCCCTCCTTCCCTCGCACTCTGTCTCCCTCTCTTCTTTCTCTCCCCTCTCACCCTCTCTTCATTCTCCTCTATCTTCCACCTACCTCTCCTCTCCTCACTCTTTCTTTCCCCTACTTCTTTCCCCCCCACTCTCTCTCTCACTCCCCTCTCCCCCCTCACTCTCTCCCTTCCCCCTCACTCTCTTCCCCTCACTCTTCCCTCACTCTCTCTCTCCCCCCACTCTCTCTTCCCCCTCACTCTCTTTCCTCCTCTCTCCCCCCTCACTCTCCCCCCTCACTCTCTCCCCCCTCACTCTCTTCCCCTCTCTCTCCCCCCTCACTCTCCTCCCTCACTCTCTTCCCCCTCACTCTCTCCCCCCTCACTCTCTTCCCCTCTCTCTCCCCCCTCACTCTCTCTTCCCCCTCACTCTCTCTCCTCCTCTCTCCCCCCTCACTCTCTCCCCCCTCACTCTCTTCCCTCACTCTCTCCCCCTCACTCTCTTCCCCTCACTCTCCCCCCTCACTCTCTTCCCCTCACTCTCTTCCCTCACTCTCTCCCCCCTCACTCTCTTCCTCACTCTCTCCCCCTCACTCTCTTCCCCCTCACTCTCTCCCCCCTCACTCCCTTCCCCTCACTCTCTCCCCCCTCACTCTCTTCCTCACTCTCTCCCCACTCACTCTCTTCCCCCTCACTCTCTCCCCCCTCACTCCCTTCCCCTCACTCTCTCCCCCCTCACTCTCTTCCCTCACTCTCTCCCCCCTCACTCTCTTCCCCTCACTCTCTCCCCCCTCACTCTCTCCCCCCTCACTCTCTCCCCCACTCTCTCCCCCCTCACTCTCTCTCCCCCCTCACTCTCTCCCCCACTCTCTCCCTCACTTACTCTCTCCCCCCTCACTCTCTCCCCTCACTCTCTCTCCCCTCACTCTCTCCCCCCTCACTCTCTCCCCCTTCACTCTCTCTCCCCTCACTCTCTCCCCACTCACTCTCTCCCCCTCACTCTCTCCCCCCTCACTCTCTCCCCCCTCACTCTCTCTTCCCCTCACTCTCTCTTCCCCTCACTCTCTCCCCCTCTCTCTCCCCCCTCACTCTCTCCCCCGCTCTCTCTCTCCCCCTCACTCTCTCCCCCCTCACTCTCTCCCCCTCACTCTCTCCCCCCTCACTCTCTCTCCCCCTCACTCTCTCCCCACTCACTCTCTTCCCCCTCACTCTCTCCCCCCTCTCTCTCTCACGCGCTCCCCCTCACTCTCTCTCCCCCTCACTCTCTCCCCCCCTCACTCTCTCCCCCCTCACTCTCTCCCCCCTCACTCTCTCTCTCCCCCCGTCACTGGATTAAAACACCCCCTCCCCCAGCAGCAGCAGCAGCAGCAGCAGGATGGGGGCGGGAGGGGCACTGGGGTCTGGGGTGTTTGGGGGAGAGTGGGGGGGTTGGGGGGGAGGGGTTCTTGGCCGTTTGATAGGGATCACCAATGATCAGAGCCTCTCCAGGTGCAGAACACCCTCTTCCCTCGCGCCAACCGACCTGCCCTTTCACCCCGCTCCCTCGCCCACGTGACGCGGCGCGCGGCTTTCCCGCCCAACCTGGGCGGGGTCGGGCGGCTTGACGCTCAACGGGGGCGGGGTTGGGCGGCTTGACGTCCAACGTGGGCGGGACCGGGCGGCTTGACGTCAAATGTGGGCGGGGCCGAGCGGCTTGACGTCCAACGTAGGCGGGGTTGGGCGGCTTGGCGTCCGACGTGGGCGGGGCCGAGCGGCTTGACGCCCCATCCATCGAACTCGCGCTTGGCGTCGCCCCGGCAACCCACCCGCCCTCGCCCCGCCCCCACCATCGCCATGGCAACGCCACGCCGCGGCGCCGCCACCTAACCTGATGGCGAGGTGAAGGTCCTCGAGGCGAGGCCTGATTGGTCGGGGTGGGCGGGCGCTGACGCGGCCCCTGTCTCTGATTGGCCGCCTGCGGTGTCAGTCGGTCACGGGGTGAAGGTAGGTTGCAGAGGCAGAGGATTGCTCTGCTCTGAACATTGATTAAAGGGGTTATATTTTTGACCCCCCAAAAAACCTGTGTCTCTCTCTCTCCTTTTTTTCTTCTTTCCTTCATTTATCGCTCTCCCCCCCCCACTCTCCCCCCCCCCCACTCTCTCCCCCCCCCACTCTCTCCCCCCCCCCCCCCCCCCCCCCACTCTCTCCCCCCCCCACTCTCTCCCCCCCCCACTCTCTCCCCCCCCCACTCTCCCCCCCCCCCACTCTCCCCCCCCCACTCTCCCCCCCCCACTCTCTCCCACCCCCCCCACTCTCTCCCCCCCCCCCTCTCTCCACCCCCCCCACTCTCCCCCCCCCACTCTCTCCCCCCCACTCTCTCCCCCCCCCACTCTCTCCCCCCCCCCCTCTCCCCCCCCCCCCACTCTCTCCCCCCCCCCCCCCAATCTCTCGCTCCAGACCCCGGTGGCCGCAAAACCTCTTATAGTGTAAAAAAAATCCCCAACAACATCGACAACTTGCATCTATGTCGCTCACGGCGACGGCGACGACAACAACAACAACAAGATTCCATTTATAGAGCGCCTTTCACGTCAGGAGGACGTCCCAAGACGCCGACGACAACTTGCCTTTCCACCCCGCGCCCCCCCCCCGAGGATTAGGGTGTAACCTCGAGCAGCCTCTTTTTGTGTCACCAGGAGGATTTTTATCCGACAGCACACGATGGGACGGAAAAAGAAGGAGGGGTCGATGCTGCCCTCCCTCAAGGAGGGGGCGGACGGAGAGGAGTCGATCTACAAGCGGCCCTACGCCGGCATAAACTGCAGGCCGCCCGGCCGGCCGCGGAATTCCTACAGCAGAGGGAGCGTTGACCCCAAAGTGGGTACCGTCGGACATCTGGTGGTGGGGGGGGGGGTTTGAACGTGGCTGGGGGGTTATATATATAATCGATCGCAAACAGCGGCTTGCATTTATATAGGGCTCTTCACGTCGGGTAATAATAACAACAACAATAATCCTCGCCTGTGGTGCAAGCTATTTCACAGACGACTCTTCTACCATGAAGCGAATGACTGACGTACAACGTGTTGTTGTTAATGATGGTATTAATAATCTTACATTGGGTAACAACGCCCTTCACGTCAGGAGGACATCACAAAGCGTTCATGGGATTCACTGAAAATCCACCCAATTGTGCCTGGATTTGTAATAGAATAATAATAATAATAATAAAATATGGGCTCTTGCAGTTTCCTGATGGATGTTTGTCAACTGATTTGATTGTTTTTGTTGTGACTTCTTCAGAAAATTACCCGAGTCCAGAGTTCTGCATCTTTAGAAGAAATAGAAACCACAGACTGCCTATTCAGGGCAGGAGTGAAAACCACACAAGGGTCTCGGAAAAGAGATTCCCAAGAGAGCTCGGATGAGGAGATGACTGAGTCAGGATGGGAGACAGACCTGGAAGGTGATGGTAAGAGTAACTGACGACATGGCTTGGTTCATGTAACTTCCATCAAATCAACCTGAATATTATTCCTCCATACTCAATGCGCCATCTCAGTACGAATTAAGTCTTTACCAGGATCTCAAGAAAATAGAGCTCCTTCCTTCCCTACTCTCACAACCTATAAAATCACAAGCTCAACATCATCTGCCCTCTACTTCATCCTTTCAATAAATCCCCCCCCAAAATGGCCACTCAAACCACAACTGCTTGTGGGATGCTGCTGTACACATATGGGTGTCGCATTTCGCCCACAAAATACACAATCAACTTACTTTACAGACTATTCTGTGAAGCGCTTTGAGACATCTCAACAAAGTCTTATGTCAAATGCAAGTATTATTAAAGGAGAAAAACATCAAACAACTTTTTCATGTGAATAGGACTCTGCAAACCTACCTGAGCAGAAAGTAATTCATTCTGCGATTAGAGTGTAGAATTGGTCTCTCTCTATATATATATATATTATATTCAGATCCTCCTTGATCATTTCATCCCCTCAGTATGTTGGTCATCATCTTACTTGGGGACTAACCTGTGCAGGTCAGTGTTATTACAGTTGGGAATTAACAGACCAGCTAAGTAACTGCAGGATACCAAGCTGAGGTCTGGGAGCCGGGTTCTCTTCTACACTATAGAAATCCAAGAAAAAGTGTCAGAATACACAATAATACTTGCATTTGATATAGCACCTTATCACTTTGTTGAGACGTCTCAAAGTGGGTCACAGAATATACTATAAAGTGAATTGAACCTTGCCTAAGGTTTCATCCCGCCTGCCCGGTAATCAAACCCGGGGCCTCTCGCTTGCGAGGCGAGAGCTCTGACCAATACACTTCAGGACTCCATTGTCTTCCTGAAAAAGTCCCCCAAATTAGTACCGTTTCATATGATCACATCGCAAAAAGTGCTTTATTTGTGGTTTGATGTTAGAGCCCGAGGACACTTTTGACATCACCGGGAAATCCACCTATGTGGAGGCGTGTAAAGCCTACGGTGTGGTGCCCATCTCCTACTTCCTGCGCTTCATGAACGAGGCAGAGGTGTCCATGATGCATCACGGACTCGGGCCGCAGGTAAAAACATATGACATCAGGGGACGCACGTCATGTAGAAGAGCATCCCCACAAGGAATGCAATGCTTGCATCTGGATACAGGTAAAGGAATGTGATTTGTGTTTGTTGTGTTTTCTGTCGTACAAAATATATATTTTATAAACAAGTATGCATTTTTAAAAAATGCATATAATATTACAGTGTTTCCATGATGGGAAAAAAAAGCCCTTAGCACAGCAGTTTTTAGTGTTAACTGTCTACAAAACTCCACGGCTGTTTGTGGGACACTGCTGTGCGTAATTGGCCGCCGTGTTTTGCCCACAAAATAAACAGTCAATTCACTTTGCAGTGTGTCCTGTGAAGCGCTTTGAGACGTCTCAACGACGTGATAAGGCACTGTAACAAATGCAAGCATTATTATCTTGACGAGAGAGCGGGATTGGTATCAAAGGTAGTCTTTTGCTACTAATTGGGCTATTTATTGCCAAATAAATGAGCATATTAGTTGAGTGACTGCGAGGCGAGTGCTCGAACCAAAACTCTACCGGGCTAATAATTCTTATTAATTTCTCTACACCGATTTGCCACAGTCGTATTTATCTTCACTTGTAGGGCGCCAAGGCGATTGCTGTCTGCTTGGTAACCAACACAACAATCGTAAAGTTGAACCTGAAGGATAACAGCCTGGAGGGAGATGGAGGCAGAGCTATGGCAGCCATGTTGAAGGAAAACTGTTACATTACAGGTGTGAACATCCATGCTTCGGAATCAAATCTGGGTCCACTACACTACGGGGCTCCATTCACCATAAAATAATATATATATATATATATACACAGAGAGAGAGAGAGAATCTTACAGCACAGAAGGAGGCCATTCGGCCCTTCGTGCCTTTGCCGGCTCTTTGAAAGCGCTACCCAACTAGTCCTACTCCCTTCACTCTTACCCCAATTAATGCCACTCCCCTGCTCTTACCCTGTAGCTCTCCGCATTTTTCCTTTTCAACTATCTGTCCAATTCCCTTTTGAAAGCAACTATTGAGTCTGCTTTCATCAGCCTTTCAGGCAGTGCGTTCCTGATGGTAACAGCTCACTGTGTACAAAAACCTCCCCTCGTCTCCCCTCTGGTTCTTTTGCCAATTATCTGAAATCTGTGTCCTCTGGTTACCGACCCACACTAATAATAATCATAATCAATAATAATTAGTAATACAATAGTTTGCGTTAAAACGTAAATGTTTTTTGTTCGAAAAGAGAGACCGACTGTCTCCTTAACACTGTATTACCTTCCACCCCTAGAGATTGACTTATCTGACAACAAGCTGGGAGTGAGAGGAGCCAAAGGAATAGCCAGCATGCTGAAGGAAAACATATCCCTGGTGAAACTGGTGCTCTCTGGCAACAACTTTGAAGACCAGGCTGCCAAATATGTGGCCAAGGGCATCCTGTTTGCACAGAAGTTAGAGATCTTAGACCTGAGCCACAATAAGATGGGCGATTTGTCAGGTTTGGCTGCACACAGTGTGGTTTCGGCAGTAATGACTCAAGTGTGGAAAATAATAATAATCCTTACATTTTATACAGCACCTTATCATGTCCGAGACGTGTCAAAGCGCTTCACAGGATATACTGTACAATGGAGTGATTGCATTTTGTGGGTCAAACACGGCAGCAAATTGCGCACAGCAGCGTCCCACAAACAGTCACGGATTGAGTGGCCACATTTTGTTTTTCATTTGAGAGATTATTATTCCCAGAAAGCAACCTGCCAATCGACTTAACAACCGGGTTCCGACTTACTGCTAGGTAAACAGAGGCGTGTGGAATAAGGAAACTTGCCTCAGGTTTGGCCGTACCAGCTGGGAATCGAACTCGGGTCCTCTCGCTTGCGAGGCGAGTGCTCTGACCACTACGCTACAGGACTCCACAATGTACCACACTGAGGGAACTCGTGCTGTACTCGGAGTGGCGTGGGGAGACTGAAAGATTACAGAAAAGACACAAGTAAAATTAACATGATCCTAAATTATCAACCACAATGACAACCACAAATGTACATTGATATAGCAGCGCCTTTCGCATTAGGAGTTAAGTCAGTTCTCAATGACCTATTAATTGTCCTCTAAAGGGGAAGTGCTGGGAAGTGCCATCGCACAGAACATCTGCTTGCAGGAGTTGAACCTCAGCTGGAACCACGTGCGTGGCGCGGGATCAGTCGCAATAGCCATCGGCCTCGGGGTAAGTCTTGCGATGTTCCCCGTTTGCAATGGCAGTGACGGCCGGAGCAGAGATGTGGAGCATCTATTGTGCTGCTAAACTATTAACCAATTACCATGTTCCAGTTAACCCTAGAACCTTGTGGTCCCAGGTCCTGCGCTCAGTCAAGTGAGCTCCACAAGAGAAATTTGGTGGATTGGGAAGCCTTTCTATTGGGAAACAGATTAAGTGTAGATTGCTTTATTTCTGCAGGGCAATATCGTTCTGAAGGTGATAGATTTGTCCTATAACGGGTTCGAGAAAGATGGGGCCTCTGCTCTCGGTGACGCTCTTAAAGTTAACTTTACCCTCGTGGAGCTCAATGTCAGGTATGGCTCCCATCTACAATTCCCACCAGCTTCACTGGAGGAAACTCTCTGAGTGACCATTTGGGGGTGGGGGGAGAAGAGATGGGGGAAGAAGGATTATTACTTACTGTTAGATAAACAGAAGTGTGTGGAGTAAGGAAATTTGCCTAAGGTTTCACCCTGCCCGGAAGGGCTTTTGTTCATTTTAGAAATAATCTGTCCCCTGTTCATTGGGTGCTTATGATTGTTCTGTTCTTTTGCGGTTCTAGTCACAATCGCATTGGAACAGAAGGAGCCATCGCCATTGCCATGGGACTGAAGGAAAACACAGTGTTAAAAGTGCTCAATGCAAGTATCATTTTCAAGCTTCGGTCCAAGCTATTGAAGGGCGCTGTGTAAATACAACCTTCTCTTGTAATTTTGAAATGGCATGTTTAACCAGAAGCTATAATTATTGTTCAAATCATTAACCACAGTTTCAGTATATTTGCACTAGCAATTTTATGAACACTCGGCTAGATCAGTACTTCATTCCAACTATGTGCTGTGTATATATTATATATACACACACACACACATCTAAACTATATGCCCTCCCTGCTTACTTTAAGGGCCATCTTAAGACCCTCCTCTTCTGTCACCCTCCTAACCCCATCCTTCCTGCCCTCCACCCGTCCTAATCCCAAACTCCCAGTTTGGGTCCAATTCCCTGAATATCCAGCGGCTTGGGACAGACATCTCCCGACGTGAACGGTGCTGTGTAAATATCATTTGTTATTGTTGCTGTAACTCCAATCAAAATGAACCGCAGCAGTGTTAGCTACAACTGTGCTTTGAGCTGACCGAGTGTTATCTTTTACAGATATCTTACAACCCTATGCAGGGCGCGGGTTGTTATGGGGTACTGAAAGTTTTACAAGACAACCCCAAGACCGCCATGGAATCCCTGGATTTTTCTGTAAGTTTAAATTAAACTGAATTTCTCACCCGCTGACATTCATATTTTTGAAAACTCTTCGGCACGCTCCCATAGTAGTCCTGTAGCATAGTGGTTAGTGCTCACCTCGCAAGCGAGAGGACCCGGGTTCGATTTTCAGGTGGGACAAAACCTTAGGCAAGTTTCCTCACACTGCACACCACTGTTTTCCTAGCAGTAAGTAGGAACCCGATTGTTAGTCGATTAGCGGATCGCTTTCCAGGAGTAATAAAAAAACAATTTGGTCCCTCAATCCACGACTGTGTCTGGGACACAACCGTGCGCAATTGCTTGCCGCATTTCTCCCACAAAATACAGTCTCTCTACAATATATTCTGTGAAGTGCATTGATACATCTCAACGATGTGATAAGGCACTGTATCAAAACCAGTATTATTATTATGTATTTATAAGTCACATTGCTCATACCCAGAGCTGCAAGTGTGCATCGTACCACAAGCGAGACTGCAGATGGTTGTTCTTTATCTATTTCCTTTCCCCAACTGATGCCATGTTACACATTGCCAACCACACTGCAGGACTTTGCTCATGTGGCCTTGTTTCATTCCAAGTGTTCAGCTGGTGATGCCAGCGTACTTGACCATGGAGATCACTACTGCTAAAAGCCAACAAAGAACATATGCTGGCAGCACAATAAATATCCCCCTTATGTCTCTGTTCAGGGAATCACAGTAAACAAGGACTTTCTGAGCTTGCTCAGAGTTGTGAAGCAATATCTACCTGATCTCGAAGTGACGTATGACGGGAACGAAGTGGTCAAAGTAAAATCCAAGGTAACAATTTGATTTTCTCCTTTTTCGAACATCAATAACCCTCCGCGAATCAAGCACTAGCATGTGCGTTGCTCTGTGCAAGTCGCTTGATTGCAGTGGATTTATTTTTCTAGCTGTTAGTCGAGTTAGAAAGTGGTCATTCAGTCCAATGCGGTGCTAGCTTTGCAAATCGCTGTGATTGAGTCTGCTTCAATAACCGCTCAAGCGGTTTTAGCTGGTTAGACTCCTGCAGTTTCCCAACGCACACTATGGACTCCCCCCAAGCCTTGGCTCTTGCCAACCTGCTCCTAATACTCTCCACAATTAGGTAAGCAGGATACATCCCTCCAGAGGGAGAGAGGGAGAGTGCGATTCCATTCCATCAATCTATCTCTGGGATTTCCATGTGTAGGTGGGATGGATGAAATTCTCAGTTTGGTTTGGAGACTCTTAAGCAACGATGATGGGTTTGCTTATGTGTCAGACACCCGGGCTGGCCAAAAAAAAACACAATTGGTGTTGAGGAGTGAGCTCCAGTGGGGAGATAGTGCCCTTGACTGTATTGCAGGCTCCTCCTATTGAGAAGCTGAAAAGCTATATGAAGGAGAACGATCTGGAGGTGATGAATTTCCTGGAGAAGGTGGACCTAGAGAACACGAGCATCAACCTGCAGGAGTTTCAGGACGCAGTGAAGGTCAGCCCTTTCACTAAGGTGATAACACTTCAAATCATTGGGGGGGGGATGGAAATTCTCCCTCTCGTCAGGAAAAGTGAGGCAGAGTACTTACAGATCAATCAAATAACTCCTTAATATTCTTCTACCCCACCCCCCCAACTCCAGCCCCCTGCCTCACACGCTTCATAGAACATAGGAACAGGAGTAGGTCATACAGCCACTCGAGTCTGTTCTGCCATTCTATTAGCTCACGGCTGATCTGTACCTCAACTCCAATTACCCCCCTTTACCCCATATCCCTCGTTACCCTGACCTAACAAACAGCTACCCACCTCAATTTTCAAGACTCTTCTCTGACCAGCAGCTGAGTGTGCCACAACACAAAATGTAGAATGGTCTTTGTTTTTCAGGGGATAGAGAGGAAAGGCAGCAGAGTGGATGGTCGAGAGTGTTTGCTTGTGGTACTAGATCTGTCTGGTGACTGACTCTGTAACTCTGCTTTCTTACCAGAACGTGGGTGTTCCTTTATCTGACACTGAACACAAACAATTGATGGATTTCCTGGATAAAGATAAGGATGGCGAAATCCGCTTCAGGTACAAAAGATCAACACCCTTGCTTGTCAAAATCTCTCTTGCTAAATATTTTGTCTCCTCTCCTAAATGCGCTGACACGGGCTCAGGGAGCCATGCTCCCTGCCTCACACGCTTCATACAGCATAGGAACAGGAGGAGGCCATTCAGCCACTCAAGCTTGTTCTGCCATGCCATTAGATCACGACTGATCTGTACCTCAACTCCAATTAACCAAAGTGTCTGTTGTTTACGTGTGAGCTTGGCCTGTGTGTGTTAGAAAGCTACTCAACTGTCTCTCGTTCTGCTTTTCCTTCTTACCCAGCAATTAAATGCCTAGGTCCGACAGCACACACCCTTTTCACAGCACAATTAATCTGGAAACCCAGCATATGAAAGATTACAAACCTCCTTTTGCTCTACCTTCCCCTTTTTGGAATGATATATCCACTTGATACAGGTTTAAAGAGCCATTGCATGTGCTGACGCTCACAATAATTAAACAATCTACTGGAATCTAATAATAACTATTATTACTTTGTGTTCTTTCCCCCCCAGTGTATTAAATGAGTTACTAAAAAGCTAATCTCATCATCACAAGTAGAGGTTGGTCATAATTAGATGGCACAGAAGAAAGATGCCACCACAGGATGCCTCGAATCTTAAGACTGCAATTTTATACAAAAAGCAAAACCTTATTTCAGATTAGCCTCAGAGATCATCGCCTCAAAACTAGAGCCAGACAATCTTTTTAATGTACCTCAAATAGACCAGAAAATGTATTGCAATAATCTGTATTTAAACTTACTGAATAGATGCAGTTTGTTAATACAAATGGATGGATGTTCTATGTCCTTGAAGCTGGGGTTCACAATACAAATTTTACATTTACACAAAGCCTTTCACGTCGGGAGGATGTCCGAAGGTGCTTCACGCCCGGGCTGGGGGCTGGGGAGGGTGGGGAAAGATGACTGGGGGTACGGTCAAAGAGTAAGGTCTTGTGACGAACCTTGAACGAGGTAAAGGTTTCGCCCGCAAAATACACACTCCCTGCAATATAGCCTGTGAAGCGCTTTGAGGCATCTCAATGACGTGATAAGGCACAGTATCAAACGCAAGGATTATTATTACGCAAGTTGCTGCCAGACAGAGCTAACGCATTCACTGTTACAAGGACAAGGTGATGGTTGTCACATGTGCAGGGGGAGCAGATGTCTAGCACAGCAGCCTGAGGTTCACTCAAAGGGGAGAAACCACAAAAGCCGTTACTTAATCTCCGGAATCAAACACCCACACAAACTGTGTGACCTTTCCTGATGTGGTTTACAATGTCACTCCAGCCAACCTCTCCCAACGCACTTACAGCCATTTTGAAGCCTTCATCATTCGATACACTGCACAGTACATGAAGAATGACGACAGCTGGCTGGCTAGTTGGAAAGCAAAATGGATTAGGCCCCAGTAAAGGCTCCTGACGTTCATTGCCACTGATGAACAAGAGGGATTTGGGCAACACACAATGAACGTTTTATCTCATCTCACTGTGTTCTTTCCAATTAACAAGGAAACAGCCTTCTTAATCTGGGACTGCAGGGCTGGCTGGCTTCCTGCACACAGGCAGACATCTTACTAAATCAGCAACCCCAAACACAATTAACCCCGCGAGCAGAGAACCATTCCTGTTTCCATTGCCACTCCTGGTGCAGGTTTTTCACTGTTGCAGCACCTCAACTGGATACTGCATGCGACAACGCACGCTTTACACTCAATACACCAAATATACACTCACTTCACTTTACAGTATATTCTGTGAAGCGCTTTGATACGTCTTGAAGATGTGTTAAGGCACTGTATCAAATGCAAAGATTATTATATCCTTCAGTAACAAGTGACCCATGATTCCCAGATACCACCCCCACGGTCAACACCCTAGGACAGGAAGGCAATGTTAACCCTTTCATTCCACAGTACTACATTTTTCCGTTAAGTTACTTCCCTCTGTCCCTGCCGTTGTCTCCAGAACAATCCAGCTCACCCACAAGGCATCTTTTAATAGGCACACAGCCAGAGAGCAAGAAAAACAGATGTGCCTCCCTGCTGTTAGATAACATCACATGCAAGAGGTGTGATGTGCCAAATGCTTAGCATAAGAACATAAGAATTAATTGCTAGACGAAAGAAAACCAAGGTCCAACCAGTTCGCCTTCCACCATCCTGGCAGTTGCTTGCACAACTGTTGTGTGCCAAAATATATACTGTTTCTCCCTATTTACTCCATGAAAACCCTTCATAATTTTGAACACCTTGATTAAATCTCCCCTCAACCTTCTCTGCTCTAAGGAGAACAATCACAGCTTGTCTCCACGTAACTGAAGTCCCTCATCCCATTCTGGTAAATTCTTTGAAATACGGATGCCACCAAGGCAAGAGATCATAGGGTAGTGACCGGCGAGACAGACAACAGCAAGTGTTTCACAGACAAACACTTGGAAGAAAAGTAAATCAAGTTGGACGATTACTGAACACGTGAACCGCATCCGCACTGCTTTAGAACATTTATTCACCAAATCAGAACAGGTTTCATCCCCAAAATAAACACAGCATTGAAGTGAAGTGCTACATAACAATACAGTTTACGTTCTTTCCAAAGGCCAAGGAGTAAAATAGTCCGCGTAAAAGTCTAGGACAAATCATTTTGTTAAAAATTCTGTGCTACAAAAATATAAATACACGGTTGCCAGCACTTGATAACAGGTTCTCGAGATGACAGAAAGATGTGCGATTGTAACCCTTAAGCTTAATGATAAAAATCTTTCAAAGGGAATCGGTATTTAATAGATTTGCTTAAAGATTGCTTCACAAACCAGATTTTGCAATGAGCTGATATTGCTGCCATCTCTGATCTCATTACAATGCAACAAGAATTTCCGTACGGGAAATTTATTAGCGAAGGGGAAAACTGATAACATCGAGAGTGGAGTAACATTTAGTGCAGTGAATATGGACTTAGATGATTTAGAAGGGAAATGAACAGATACTACACTTCACCAAAACGTTGTGAAGTGCTTTTAAGATGCTTGACACGATGGACGTTCTATCAAATCAATAATATCATTGTTATTCTTGGTTTCGCAGGAAGTCAGAGATTTCCGAGCGGGGGAGGGCTGGTGGAGGTGGTCTGGGGACATAAACAATGAAGCCCCAAAGCTTAGACGGATGGGGTTTAAGTCGTTGCTTGAACGTCTGCCTGATATTCACTGGCAGCCAAGGATTCAAGAACACAAGAGCTTAGAGTCAAACAGATTCACTGTGCGTCTAGTATTACTTCCGGACACAGATACCATCGGAATAAAAGCTAAAGTGCACTAAAATTCACATCATACAAAGATAGGACAATTAGCTTCTCTTCCTCCTTCCCCCCCCCACTCCCCCACAAGTCACCCCCCTCTCTCTGTTCTAAAGATACTGACTCTTCCTAGGACTAACAACCAGCCCGATGTGTGTCCCAGTTTGAACCCCAGTCACAGAACTTCCCAATAAACACGCAAGTTATTTCTCAACGTTATGCGCTACTCTGCCTTGGAATTCGTGTCCGTGCTCCAGCCCAGAGGCAGAGGATGGAGAGATGGGTGAGGGGATGGGCAGGGACTGAACTCTGTGACTGTTTCCCCACCCCACCCCCAAGCTCTGTTGATATTCCTAAACTGAGAAGGAAACTGGAGGGTAAAAGAAGGGAGGAATTAAGCTCATTCGATTTCAGATTGTTCACAAACAAAATGGCTGCACTCGGACAACAACTTGCATTTATACAGCGCCCCCTCGCTCAGGGCAGCGTCCCAGAGCGCTCGATAGTGGCAGAGCCCGACAACAAGCCGGTGGGGGGAGGTGACTGTAGGCACTGGTCGAGGAGGTGGGATCTGAAGACGGGGAAGGAGGGGGCAACACGGAGGGATAGAGGGAGAGTGTTCCAGAGTTTCGGGGCGTAGTGGCTGAAAGTGCGGCCACCGATGATGGACCGGAGGGCGCGAGGGACAAGCAGGAGGCCGGGGCCAGTCGAACCGAGGCAGCGGGTAGTGGGTTGGAGGCGGTGAGCAGGTTGGAGAGGTAGGGTGGTGCCAGGGCGTGAAGGGATTTGAAGACGGCTGAGAGGGGCTTGAAATCGATCTGTTCCTTGGCGGGCGGGGGCTACGGGGGGAGCAGAGGTGATTGAAAATCAACAGAGAATGCAAACGGACGATTTCACGAAAGCACACGAGCGGCAACGATAATGTGGCTCCCACCAGTCACTCCTGGAGCCACACCAAACCTTTGGGACAAACGGAGCTCGATCAAGGATGTCTGAGGGCTGTGGGGGGGAGGGGCGGTGGGATGGGGACATTACTATCTGGTCTTCGCTTCTTCACCAGCCATCTCCGCCATGCCCATGGGGTCCTGAGCCTCTGGCTGCACCGCTTGCACCGTCTCCACCAGGCTTCCGCTCGGGAGGACCACATAGCGAGCCGTCACGTCCCGCGGTTTGGGCTCCTTCAGGTTCTCCTTGCTGTGCCAGATGCCGTAGCCGAAGTAGATGACGAGACCTTGGGAACACAAAGGTTGTTGGCTTTCAGGGATCTTTACGCTCAAATGAAAAAGGCTCCTGGTTTTATTTGAAAATCGACACTTTTGGCTTCCACCGTCTGTCTCCCTCGGAGCCTGTTTACTACTCGCTCACTGAGTTTATCCCCCCACCTCCAATCGCAGGCCGTGTCCTCGGATTTGCAGGATACACAGTCGCTACGTGGTGAGATGTCCTCTCGACACCCAGCGGGTATTTGGCAACAATTCAATTCAAATCAAGTGATAACAACTCAAGTGTGCTCATACCTATCACAAGCCAAATGGAAAATCGCACCCAGGTCATTAAATTCAGCTTCAACATCAGGAACGTATTCAACAAGATACTTAACCCAGGAATGAAGGGCACCAGAGGAACCTGCAACAACAACACATGATTTTTACACAGCGCCATCCATCCCAGGAGGACGTCCCAAATCGCTGGACAGTCAGGACCCGAGCTGGGGGTTGGCATCAGGGGGTGGAGGGCAGGGAGGGTGGGAGAGTGACAGAAGGCGCGGTCGAAGAGGAGAGTCATGAGATGGGCCTTGAAGGAGGTAAGGGAGGGAGCGAGGCAAAGGGACTGTGGGAGGGAGTTCCTGAGGGCAGGGGCAGAGAGGCTGAAGGTCTGACCACCAATGCTGGGGTGGGCCAGTGGTTGGCGGTGGGGGGGTGCGTGGAGCTTGCTGAGCAGAGCAAGTGGACAAGTCTGTATAAACAGGCACTGACAGGGACATTGCTGTGCGCAATTGGCTGCTGCCTTTTGTCCACAAAATACAGTCACTACACTTTACATTACATCCTGAGACGTCTCAACGACGTGAAAAGGCGCTGTGTCAAACGCAAGGATTATTATTAATTATAATAATTAATAATATAATTATTAATCATAAAAATGAATAATAATAATGGGAATAGCAACCCGAGACGAGGGAGAAGGTTAGTTGCGTCTCCCAAAATAAAAGCCAAAAGGACCGACCTGAAAGGTTTTGGATTTGGGATGCTGTTCGTGAATCCAGATGAGAAACAGGCTGAGAATGAAACCCGCCCCGAAGACCACTACAAAGAGGACGTAAGCCCATTCAGACAGTTGGAGGTGACTGGTGCCGAACACCAGGATGGAGCACAAGGACACGGAGCAGACCATCATAGCCACCACCGTAACTGTCACGATCTCTCCGGGTGCAAAGTCGCTGAGGAAACGCAGGTAGGGTTCAAAGGTGGACTTCAGCTGCCCGGGCTCCCTCTGCTCTTTGGCCAGCTTTTCCCTCTCCACCAACTGCAGCTTGTCCGAGAACGACTCGTATTCCTTCAGCTCCCCGCTGTCCTGCGCCTGGACTCTCTGGGGACCGGGTGCAAAGGTCTTGGGGGAGCTCATTCGATCTGCCTGGTAGCGGAGCACGATGATGCTGGCTGCTACGAAGGTGTAGGCTAACAGGGTACCGATGGACAAGAACTGGACCAAGGCTTCCAGGTCAAACACCAGCGCCAGTATGGACATCAGGATCCCAAACACCACAATGCCAATCACGGGCACCTGGGTGACGGGGTTGACCCGGGAGAAGATCTGGAAGAACAGACCGTCCTCGGACATGGCGTAGGTTATCCTAGGAAGGGAGAAGAGGTTGGAGAGGATAACGGTGTTCATTCCTGGAGGAAAGGGGGAAAACAAATAGCAACAGTTAGCACATCCACAGCGTCCCCACAAACAGCCACGGATTGAGTGACCAAATATTTATTTATTATTATTTATAAAGGGTTTATTACCCTCAGAAAGTGATCTGCCAAATGACTAGCAACCGGGTTTCTACTTCCAGCTGGTAAACAGAAGTGTGTGCGTGGAGTAAGGAAACTTGCCTAAGGTTTCTCCCTGACCGGCCGGGAACCGAACCGGGGTCCTCTCGCTTGAGAGGCGAGCGCTGTAACCACTGAGCTACAACTCACCGCAAATGGATCCGATGGCCACTATAAATCCCGCCCAGGAATAGCCCCTCCTGTAGAAGGCGTCTGCGAGGGCAGAGTCCGGGTTCAGGGAGTGCCAGGGCACCATCAGGGTGAGGACTGTGGAGACCAAGATGTAAGCCAGGGTAGCGAGGCCCAGGGACACAGCGGTGGCTACAGGCACGGCTTTCTGTGGGTTCCTGGCTTCCTCACTGGATGCCGCGATCACATCAAAACCCACAAAGGCGAAGAAGCAGGTGGCGGTGCCGGACATGATGCCCGAAAAGCCGTAGGGGGCAAAGCCACCCTCTTTGGCACTGTAGTTCTTTGGGTCGGCGAGGATAAAGCCAAATATCAGGATGAAGAGGATCACGCCTATGCTGATGGCTGAGAAGATGTGATTGAGCCACGAGGAGACCTTGGCCCCACAGCTGATGAAGGCGGTGGCTATCAGCAATATCCCCACGGCCACGAGGTCAGGGTTGTGGGCCAGGAGGGGCACGTCCCAGGAGCCGATGTGGGTGACAGTGAAGTTGTGGATGCGGTAGCTGAAGATGGAGTCCAGGTAGGCGCTCCACGCTCTGGCCACCGCCGCCCCGCCAATCGTGTACTCCAGGATCACGTTCCACCCGATCAGGAAGGCCCACAGCTCGCCCACGGAGACGTAGGTGAACATGTAGGCCGAGCCCGTCTTTGGCACACTGGCCCCGAACTCCGCGTAGCAGAAGGCGGCCAGTAACGAGGCGAAGCCGGCGAAGGCGAAGGACACGATGACGGCTGGACCGGCGATCTCCTTGGCCACCGTGCCCGTCAGCACGTACAGCCCAGAGCCCACCATCCCGCCCACTCCCAGCAGGGTCAGGTCCACAGCGGACAGGCACCTGTTAAAGGAGGTTTCCATCATGTCTGCCTCCAGCGTCTTCACTCGGTTCAGCTTCTGGCAGAAGCGAGCCAGGGAGTTACAGCTGGGTAACCTGCCTACCATTGTTGCTTCTCTATCGCACCCAATAGTCTCTTCCCTTTAAACCTGATACTTTAAATTAGTTAGTTCAGTTCCGAGGCTTGTGGTTATCTGGATCTCAGTCCATTACCCCCACGGAGCAGAAATCTCATGTTAGAAACCCGTGGAAAGTGAAAGCGACTCTCGATCTGCAAATTAAAGAACAGGGGGAAAAAAAATCAACGATCTGACATTCACATCAGGAGCACAGACAGGATCTCAGTTTAACGTCTCATCCGAAGGACAGCACCTCAAACAATGCAGTGCTCCCCATAGTACCATTGGAGCGTCAGCCGAGACTGTGAGCTCAAAGCCCCGATGTGGGGGCTTGAACCCACAATCTTCTGAATCAGAGACGTGAGTCTGAGCCAGACTGACAACACATGCGAACGTCACACTTGAACCTGCCCCGCCAGACACTCAGACGGTGGTCCCCTGGTACCCGACCATGGCTTTAGACCGTGCACATTACAACGCTGTACGAGTTGGAAATCCATGAGAAGATGCATTCCACAAACACTATTACGCAGCATGAAAATACAAATGCAAATGGCTCAGAATGGGTTAACGCCGTCCGAGAGCTGAAGGGCATTCGTGACTCCATACCAGAAGTCAGGTTTGACTGAAATCCAATATTTGCTGAAGCAAAACGTGAGGCTCGGCCTTGCAATATAGAAAGAACAAATTATAAAAACGTGATGGTTGCGTTGGTGAGAATAGTCTCCAAGGCCAGAGTAGCTACTGCTCAATTTCCTGCTGCATTATTCAGCTGTCTCACTTATGCCTTTTGCTTCTAATGCGTACAGACACGTCCCACAAATAGTTGTGGATTAAATCACCTAATTATTATTAGTTTTTTTTAAGGGATTATTACCCCCGGAAAGCGATCCGCCAATCGACTAATCACTGGGTTCCTACTGACTGCTGGTAAACAGGAGTGTGGAAACTCGCCTTAGGTTTCACAGCGCCTGGGAATCGAACCCTGGTCCTCTCGCTTGCGAGGCAAGTGCTCTAACCAATTCTTGCTCGGTTTGTTGCTGACAGGGGCAAAATTTCGGCCCCCAGGGTCAAACAACACCTCAGCCAGGGACTGTCCCTGGAAATCGGGGTGGTATGAAGCTTTCTGGGTCTCTACCCCGTGTGAAGGACGCTATGTAAAACAAGTTGTTGCTGTTGTTGTACGGGAACCTGATAAAGTCCGTAGAAATCGACGTTTAATGTTCCTGGATATAGGGATAAAAGTTCCCCCCCTTTTTTTTCGCAGTTCAGTCGCCACCAGTAACAATTCCTTAAAAAAATAATAATCCTGGGGTTTGACCCAGCGCCTTATCGAGCTTTCGAGACGTCTCAAAGGGTATGCTGTAAAGCGGAGTGACTGTGTGTTTTGTGGCCAAAACGCCCTGATGTGCCGGGGGAGATGTAAAGGTAATTTGGGTTTTTTTGTCTCTGGTTACACCTGTATAGTGGAGGGGGGGAGTTAGCCGATGGCTGATACATTTCTTAATCGAAAACTCTGGAGTGCATCGAATTGGCAAACACCCGATCATGTCCATTCCATTCACCTTTATTCTCCTCTCGATTTTATTCAACATAGGAGAGGATTAAACACACACACACACAGACAAACACACACACACAGACACAGACACACACACACACACACACAGACAAACACACACAGACACACCACACACAGACACACACACACACACAGACACAAACACACACAGACACACAAACACACACAGACACACACACACACAGACACACAAACACAGACACAAACACACACAGACACACACACACACAGACACACACACAGACACACAGACAAACACACAGACACACAGACACACAGACAAACACACACACACACAGACAAACACACACACACAGACAAACACACACACACAGACACACACACAAACACACACAGACACACACACAAACACAGACAGACACAGACACACACACAGACACACAAACACACACAGACACACAAACACACACAAACACACACACACAGACACACACACAAACACAGACACACAGAAGACAAACACAGATACACAGACACAGACAGACACACACACACAGACACAGACAAACACAGACACACAGAAGACAAACACAGATACACAGACACACAGACACACACACACACACACACACAGACAAACACAGACACAGAGAGACAAACACACAGACACACAGACAATTAGCAAATGTCAAACCAGAAAGCAAAACAATACTCACTTTTCTCTCCTAATTTGGCTCAGGGATTGGAGCTCACAAGGGTGTGACCAAAGGAAAAGGTGACATTAATCTCTTCTTTCTTTCCAGCGAATGCTGAAATAAATTATTTATAGGGAGAGAGAGAGAGAGAGAGAGAGCAGAAAAAGAGGAAATAATTGTTAATGGCTTTGAAACGTGTCCCTACGCCATCACACGCGCATTGTATATTTATATCCCTACAGAATTTTTTTTAAAAACCCTTTAAATATGTCCGTCTCTTTTGAGAGACACAGAAAGATAATTGCATTGATCTCTGTGTGTGTGTGTGTGTGGGGGGGGGGAGTGCAGATAAAATATTGAGATACAAACCTCAATCTTCACCAATAAATCAACCAAAATAAAGAGGAGTCTCGTACACAGAAGGTGTTCAACACTCGGGATAACGGTGGGAATGATGATGATGATGATGATGGGGTTTGGAGGGATGGACTGTATTTGTCTCTGAGGTTTAAGGGGAAGGAGATCAGAGGAGAGATACGCAGAGATCTGACTTTAAATCCAAACCCAGAGGGAGAGAAGGAGAAAAGGGAGAGATGGGGCGGACGGAGGGAGAAATAAAGCGAAACCAACCTGTTTCTGCGGCTCCTCCCGACTCTGTGGTCAACCCAATTACTGGGGGTCAGAGAGAGAGATACAGACACACACAGAGAGAGAGAGAGATCTGCCTCTCATTGCTTTGACGTCAGACTGAAAGGAATCGTAGGGGAAATGTGGCAGAGAGTGAATTGGGGAGAGAGGGAGGGAGGGAGAGAGGGAGGGAAGGGGGAGAGAGAGAGAGAGAGAGGGATGGAGGGATGGATGGATGGAGGGAGGGGTTTGCAGGAAGACAGGAGGTTAGAGGAGAGATGGAGGGAGAGTTGCATCAATAGGCAGTGAGTGCAACTGCATAAGCATCAGGTGCAGTGACTGGGCCAAACAGGATGGAGATCCCACCTGCCCTGAATTGGCAGAGCTCAGGTGAGAAGATACAAAGGGCCTCTCTCTCTCTCTCACTCACTCACTCACTCACTGACTCTCTCTCTGGGCTGGAGTTCAGGGCAATCAGCCAAGGTCACAGCTCTCATGTTTTGGGGGAAGGATAGGATTGAGCTCAATTCTGATCCTTCAATCCCTCAGGCTGTGCATGTAATAATAGTAATAATCGCTGCATTTGATGACAGCGCCTTATCATATCGAGACGTCTCAAAGCGCTTCACAGAATATACTGTAAAGTGAATCGGCCGTATATTCTGTGGATGAATCACAGCACAACAGTATCCCAGAAAATAGTTATGGATTGCAGGACCGAGGGGTTATTACCCCTGGAAAAACGATCCGCCAATTGACTAATAAGCGGGTTCCTACTCACTGCTGGTAAACAGAGGCGCGTGTGTGTGTGTGGAGTAAGGAAACTTGCCTAAGGTTTCGCCCAGACCCGCCCGGGAATCGAACCCGGGTCCTCTCTCCTGCGAGGTGACTGCTCGTCCCAATACGCTACAGGACTTCGGAATAAAAGAATGTTACAGAAATTTGATATTTTTCACGGAAAAGCTTTATTCGAGTGCGCGGAAGGTGCGATGGTGCCAATACTGAAAATTTGCATTGATCAACGCTAAGTTAATATATTTTCTGAAATCGAGGTAATAACTACTAAAGCCATTTTAAAGAATGGAAAGAACATTTGGGATTTAATAATTGAATAACGTAAGCAAAGAAGACAGCAACAAACCTTTCCTCCCATCCTTAAATCCCACAATTTACAAGTACAACTGTTTGTTTTATTTTGCATTCACTCAATATACATTGAAACTCACAGTAACACTTGAGAGATGGTGTGATATCACATCATTTCTATAGGTTGGGAATACTGCTTTCGGAACACAGCGAAGGCAAATCGAGACTCCACATGTTTATGTAGCTCCTCACGTGAGTGTCTCTGAAATACTCAAGTTCTCATAAAGTAGAAAATTAACTATCGCGTGGCTTTCAGTGTGACAGTGAAAAGCATGAGCTGTTCCGGATTTATGTACTAATACTTTAGGGCCATGTTGGCACCGCTCACACCAGCCCAGATGTAGACAAGACGCACGCAGGAGATTTGCTGTGGGCCGTGCTGGCAGATGGGCCACCCCCGTGTTACAGTAACAATCCAACCACAGATATTAAGTACAGGCGCTAGATCAAAGTAACTGTGCAAGAGAGGGTACAGTACAGATCTGAAACTGATTCAGCAGTGCACGTAATGTGGGTGCGAATGTAAAAGCAGACGGAACATTAAGCGAGTCTTATGTTGAAGGTGTTTTTATCCTTAACCTGCTGCAGGCTGTCTGTGCAACGCCTCACCACTCGAGTGGCTTAGGCTGCTGAGCAAGGCATTTAACAACAAGTCAGTCCATCTGAGGTGGAGTTCACTTCTCCTCATTCTCAAACACTCGGTGGCAGCCTCAGCGATTCCCAGACTGAGCGGATCTCTGCTGCATCTTTAAGATCAGGTCCAATAAATTCATCTGTAATGTCAGCTCCTGCGTGATCAAAGGACCCAGAGAAATAAGGAGAAAAACAATTGGATTCGTTGAAGGTTTGAGTTCTGTAAGCTCTCTCTTTTTTGAAAAAAAATTGGGGGATTGTCGACCAGGACAATGTGAGAGAGAAACTGCCTTCTCTTTTCAAACAGAGCCGCGGGATATTTCATCTCGACCCCACCATAAGGGATTAAGAATCAAACATATATCCCTGCTTTCTATGTGTACGCGAGTTCCACTGATGTGTAAACGAGTGAGTTATTTGTTTTACCTACAGTGCAAATTTATTTTCCAGACCCTCCCAACACACCAACACACATCACCTTGGGGTTTGTGGTGATGTAAAACCCGGGGACTCCAGCCTTCTCCAGGGTATTCTGCTGGTCAATCACCTTCTGGTCGAGCTCCAAGACAATTTTCTCATCCATCATCTTTTGCTCATGCTTAACTCTCTGCTCCAAGGCCTAAAGGCAACAGGCAAAGCTTTGGATGTAGTTACTGAAAGGGGGAAAAGCAAACTTCCAGAGGGTGGGGGGGGGCAGAGAGACTGACGGCCTGACTGCCGATGGTGAGGTGGGAGTGGGCTGGGCTGGGGACATGGAGCAGGCTGGAGTCTGCTGAGCGGACAGGTTGATGAGGGAATAAATGACTTACCTCAAGCTCCCTTTGTTGTGCTGCTCTGAGCACCGCTAAGTTGTGGGACTTGCAGCCCTGCAGTGACTCCTTGTGTTTTCTGAGCAACTCCTGTTTGAGGGCTGTGAAGGACAATGAAACAGCGCACGTTTAACCTTCTAAAAGGGGCCCCGTTTCCTGGGACGTTTATCCTAGCGTTCTCAAACGACGGGAAACCGCCTCGCAAACCGAACCACAAACGAACGAAACTGTTTTACACTCTTACACGAAAAGCCGCGCTAGAAAACGTGATGCGTTGCGGCCGTCGTTGTCGTCCGGGCATCGAAAGCCACGCCGGCCTCACCTCTGTGCTCACTGTGCAGCTTAAGACGCTGGTTGTAGAGGTTTTTCTCGGTCAGGTGCTGGATCTCCAGTAAACCCTGCACGATCTCGAAAACAGTGCCGTCGATCAGCACGAGGGCCAGGTTACTGAGCATCTCGTACGTCAACCTCTGCTGGCTGGAGCTACACGGAAAGAAAGAAGCCCCCCCCCCCCCCGGTCATTATAAGCAATCCCACCTTTGATCGGGGATCTTAAGCTGGAGAGAAATTAACTTGTATAAAGTCCTCAGACACAACAACAACAACTTGCACTTGCATTGAACCCGCCACAACACAGGGGGTAGCGCTTAACAGCGGCGGAGCCTGACTCTGAGCTGGGGGTGGGGGAGAGGGATGGGGAGTGGGGTGGGGGGGGGAGAGAGAGGGTCAAAAGGAAGGTTTTCTGGCAGGACTTGAGCCGGGGGGGGGGGGGGGGGGGGCAGGCGAAGCTTAACAAACAGCTTAAATGCCCAATGTATTTCCACCTTCAAAGCCCTCC